TTTTTTTTTATTTGATGTCATGATTGTTGGTTTTTGCAGACGTATGTACCAGTTTATTGGCACGATACCAAGTTCAGCTGAACCCCCTGTCTTTCAACATGTCTTCCAGACCTATGAAGACACTTTAGGTGAGTGGGCCTTTATGTACAGGTAAATTGATATTATATATCAGTGGTATCATGATGTTTATTTTCCATAGGTTTTTACACATTTCATTGCTATACTTACATGCGACAAAATTCTGTGATTTTCCCATATGTGGCTATGAAATGAGATAATCATGGCTATATATGGCTATGAAATAAGATTATTATGGCCATATATGGATGTGATATGACATCATCATGCCTATATATGGGTAATTCACATACATTCGTCACATGAAACATAATATTGTATAGAGCTTATTCATTTTTAGCTTATTTTATTTGATTTTCTTTTTTACAGCTCCTAGCTTCTTGGAATTACCTGGTAACTTTGGTTACAGTGACCTGGTGTTTTTTCATCCTAAATTTAGATCGCCACCAAGGAATTTTGCATGGATGACTGGTAATTAATATTTCATAACATTCGTCAGTCTGGGACAAATCTGACTTCTTTGATATTTTTCATTGGATACAGAATCAACGTCCAACCACCTCTGCCCCCTGGGGGCGTATTCCTGGTTGTGCGTGTAATCAGCACTACTAATTTCATTCAGAATCATTCACCTCCTACCAAGCACCCATTTATATTTTTGGGTGAAGATACAACTTTTTACCACCTTGGCTTTAAGATCTTTTCTTATTTCTCCCTTGAGGTCCTGGCGTGTACTACGGTTCTTTTGATTACACTTTGCAAGCTAAAGATAATATAACGAAAGATGCAAGTTTACTGCAGAATCCATTTGGGGACAAAGAGACGTCTGTGAAACCACTGGCAGTTTTATTGACTGAATTCCATATCCTGTTACTGTTTCCTGATAGGTAACTAGACTATGGCGTAATATAATTGAAACTCTATCTATACATCCATCCTTTCCTTCATCTATCTATCTATCTATCTATCTTTCTGTCTATCTGTCATCTACCTTCATGCAGCACCTGTCTGTTTGCCTGCCTTGCAGATTTATATAGCTGTGAGCTATTATATGCTATTGGATGGACAGAGGAGTTATCATGTATGCATGATAAAAGTACCATAAATGACCAATTAAGCACCGATCTTTTATTGTTCCAGGTTACGTGTAATGTGTGCGTTGAATGAACAGCTGGTGGATGAGGATGTCTACCAATCAGTAAGCAACGTCTTTATATAGATAATTACAAAATGCATTTAGCCAAACAAGCAAAGCTAGCTAATATTGTCCAAATTCTATAAAAAAGGAAAGAAAGAGGGATAACAATTTTTATTTGTATGTCCTACTCATGCTACTAGAGAAGAGGTTGTTCAATTTCCTGGGATAGCCAGCATGTTTAATTAAAAATGTTCAATTCTCAGCTGTAGATATTATTTTATATGAATAATGCTTTCTTCTACAGAGATTTGGCAAATTGCTTGGTATTTGCAAGGATCGTGTAAAAGGAACCATTTGGTCCTATACAAACCAGTCAGTGTTTAAGTACAAAGTCACCAGGGAATCCAGGTAAGAGGTCACAAGTGCTCAATTGATCACCTGTTAATCCCCTCCACCTGTCATTTTAGAAATTGATTCAGATTTGTAATATCATAAGTTATATTATGGCATATTAATGATATTAATGATTTTATAACATTTACACAGGCCTGATTAGATTCAGGTGGTGCTAGTGATTAGCAATAATATCATTTACTATTGAATTTATATATTGTTTCTAGTCATTTAAAAAAAAACAATTGAAATTGTTCAAACATTGATATTAATATAGTTATTGTTATTAATAATATTTTTTTTAAATTTTATAAGGGATGTGTGGAGAATGTATCTTGATAAAGGAGAATTTGATCTCGCCAAGGAATACTGCAAAGACAATCGAGCAAACTTGGACCAAGTGCTGACAAAGCAAGCTCAATTTTTCTTTGAAAGTGGCAGGTAAGCAATGAATGGTCCAGGATTTTGAAATAGAGCGGGACCCAGGGTTGAACTTTTGCAGGTAGAGGGTCCAGACCACCCTCAGCTCTTTCACGGTTAGGGCTGATGTACGAAATGGCTATGCGCCTCCAAATTGCTGGAAATTTGAATGTCATTTGTTTTTTTCCATTACGTACAGTTTGATTATTATTGTGTTATTTAATTATGGACTGTCATTCATGTATTTATTGCATTTTTTCTATTTAGGTATGAGAAAAGTGCAATGTACTTCGCACTTACTGAAAGGTCATTTGAGGAAATTGCTCTTAAGTTCATTGAATCCAAGCAAACTGATGCACTCAAGTCATTCCTTGAAAAGAAACTTAGTTCATTTAAAAGTCAAGTAAGAAACAAATGTTTCCATGTGTGTATGGATGTTTCTTTTAACAAATGTATCTGTGTATGACCAACAGTTGTGTCAGTGTTTTTATCTATTCTTAAAGCATTAATTAAAACAGTATGTCCATGGTCTTGTTTGATACTGTTTTTTCCAACAAGTGTGGTCATGTATCTGTATTTGAGTTTTGTTTGCAACAAATATCATGTTCATGTGCCAGTGTATTAATACATATTTTAACCAATATCCATTTTTTGAAATATTAGGCACCGATTAAAAAAGTTGGTTCATTTCAGATGTCAGATCAATATTGAAATGTATTATATTGAAAACAAAAATAATCTGAAATAAATTTCACCTAAACCTTAGAGATAGATCAGAAATAGAAACAGCATATGCTGGGAAGCCAGTCAACACGGCACTATTGTCTAAAATCTGAGTCACATAAGTCAGTCGGCTAATATTATTCGCAGGTGCTCTAATGATCTGGCATCTGGAGTTAGTTGTCTATCCTATACAATAAAATAAGTAAAAGCTGCTAACTAATGTTGCAAACTAACGTTTCTTCGAACAAAAGCTTCCATGTATTTTGTGTATCACTGTTTCTTCCAACAAATGTACTCACATGTACGTGTATATGATCATTTCTGATGGTTTATTGTAGGACAAAACACAAATGACAATGCTGATCACATGGCTGATAGAACTCTACTTGAACCAACTTGGGGAACTGAAGGAATCAAACCAGGAACGCTACAATGTGATTCATGAACAGTTCCAGAAATTTCTTGCTCAAAGCCGAGTCATGGTAAGCTCCAAAATGCCTTTTCTAACAATCATGTTTTTTCATTGAAATTCTAGGTTGCCAACTTCAAATATTTTTGGCACACTATTGACGGATCCAGGATGTTGAAATAGAGGGGGCCCAGAGAGGGACTTCCACAGATGGGTGGTCTAAACCACCTCAGCCCCACCATGGTTGGGGCTGAGGTAAGAAATAGTATGATTATAGCACCTCTAGATGGCCAGAAATGGCACTCTCAGACTTATATTGGAATATAATTTTCTTTTTTTTTACATATTTTTTTTCATTATGAAAAAATTACGGGGCTCACAGGCAGCTTCCCCCTCATACTTTATCTGCCACTACATATATACTCTCTTTTTGTATTTTGTACATGGTGTTGTTCTGTTTACTTGTTTAGGAGTGTTTGTCAAATAACAAAACTACAGTGTATGACTTGATAGCAAGCCATGGAGATATTGAAGATATGGTCTTCTTTGCTATGTTAATGCAAGGTAAGCTGGTGTTAGTTTATATTAAATGTATTTATAAACATATGCAACCATTTTGAGATCTTGGTAATGTTTCAATAAATACTCAGATATGTAACTTAAGAATTTTACTAAAATATTTTTTATTTTTTGTCTATATATGTATTTAAACCATTTTCAAAGCACCTGGATCCAAATTTTGACAAATACAACTTGACATGTTGTATTATCTACAATATTTATTCCTTGATTCTTGAAAATAGAACTCAGAGGAGTTGAGTAGCTTAGTGGTTAAGATGCTTTCTTTCCAATCCCAGATTCTGGGGTCAACAACTCCACTCCCTAAGCATCATAATGTGACTTACCTGTAGTCTTATGTAGAGTGTGTACGTTTCTCTTGTGAGGGGGTTGACACTTTAAAGAGTGATGAAGTTCACTGTCGGGCACATTGTTGGCCCTAGTGCCTAAAGCAGAATAAAATAAAAAATTGAAAACCTCAGAGGATTGAAATTGGATGGTATCTTAACCAGCTACAGATCCACTTCAATTTTTAATTCATTATTACCCATGATGAAATTTGTGAACAAGAAGCTGTTAGATGTGTAGGGGGTATTGACATCCTGATTGTGTTTGTTAACCTTCGCCCCCTTCCTTTCTTTATTGACAGATTACGACAGAGTGGTATCCCACCATATACAGCACGGCGATTACAAATCCGCACTCGATGTACTCAACAAACCTCAGGACGATCAGCTGTTTTACAAGTTCTCTCCAGTTCTCATGCAGCACATTCCAAAGTCCCTTGTAGATGCCTGGATCCTGATGAAGAAGAAGCTTGACCCGAAGAAGTTGATACCTTCACTGGTGCAGTATGACCACAGTGTTCAAACAAGCCAGGTAAATATTACCACACCCCTCCCCCACCCCAAACTTGCTCGGCCATTATTGCCCTAAATATTTTGTTTTCTTAAAGCTTGTCAGAAAGCATAACAGATATTTTGATTGAACTCTTTTTTAAGTGTAAATTTGTATGATCTTAAGGTCTGTCCAGATTACCAAATTTTCTTTGACAAAAAAACTGTTGTATGCCCATATATAGTCATGATGTGCCTATATATGGTCAGGATGTGATCTCATCATGACCATATTTAGGCATGTCACAACATGCTTTTGTTAAATATAAATTAGATAGTGTGGACAGGACTTGTATTATTTCACAGACCAATGAAGCAGTACGTTACTTGGAATTCTGTATCGTTGAGCTTGTTAACCAAGAATCTGCAATTCATAATTACCTGTTGTCTTTATATGCCAAGTACCAACCCAACCAACTCATGAACTACCTGCAGAGACAAGGAGATGTAAGTTTTAGTGTAGCATCACTTTATTGGCCATCCAATGTTTCAAGCTCACCTGATTGGCCATTAATCTTCTCAATCTCACATGCTCAAGCACCTAATCTCTTAATCTTACCTGATTGGCTATCCATTATTAAAAGTCTTGCAAATAATAGGCCTGATTAGCCAAATGAGATTTATTGCTTTTTTTCCATTGTATCTATGTTTTTTTTAAGATTGAATATTCATTTTTTTGCATGCATTTATCAGACTATATTAACAAACTTTTTTCACTACTGAGAAAATTTTCAATAATAAACATTATTTTTTTTAGATTTCCGATAACGTTCCATATGATTTGAAGTATGCTCTGCGTTTATGTGCGGAACACAGCCACAAGAGAGCGTGTGTACACATTTATACGACTATGGGATTGTATGAAGAAGCAGTAGAGCTTGCTCTGGAGGTAAGTTTGTGGTTCTCCCATTGAGCAGAGGATGTACAGTATTAACAGGAAGTTTTCCTGTGTAAAATAATATATATACCAGTGTCATTGATGAGTGACTGAGTGAATGAAAAGAGCTAGAATGTCTTCATTCTAGTTTGATGCAGATGAAATGAGTGATTGATTGATACATTGAATGAAAATAGTTTGAATGCCTTCATTGTAGTTTTATGCCGACCAAATGAATGAATGAGTTATTGAATGAATGAAAATAGTGTGATTGTCTTCATTCTAGGTTGATGCAGACCAAGTGAATGAATGAGTGATACAGTGAATGAAAATAGTTTGAATGCCTTCATTCTAGGTTGATTCAGACCAAATGAATAAATGAGTGATTTAGTGAAAAAAAGTAGCTTTGATGTCTTCATTCTAGTTTGATTCAGACCAAATGAATAAATGAATGATCCAGTGAATGAATACAGCTTGAATGCCTTCAAAAGATTGATGCCAACCAAATGAGTTAATAAGTGATACAGTAAATGAAAATAGCTTGAATGCCTTCATTCTAGGTTGACGCCGACCAAATGAATGCATGAGTGATTCAGTGAATGAAAATAGTTTGAATGCCTTCATTCTAAGTTGATGCTGACCAAATAAATGGATGAATGAATGAGTGATGTAGTGAATGAAAATTGTTTGAATGCCTTCATTCTAAGTTGATGCTGACCAAATGAATGAATGAGTCATGTAGTGAATGAAAATAATTTTAATGCCTTCATTCTAAGTTGATGCTGACCAAATGAATGAGTGAGGTAGTGAATGAAAATAGTTTGAATGCCTTCATTTTAAGTTGATGCTGACCAATTTTAATGTTGAATGAATGAAAGTAACTTGAATGCCTTCATTCTAGGTTGATGCCGACTAAATGAATAAATGAATGAGTGATATAGTGAATGGAAATAGCTTGAATGCCTTCATTCTAGGTTGATGCTGACCTATTTTAATGTTAAATGAATGAAGATAGCTTGATTGCCTTCATTCTAGGTTGATGCTGACCATATTTATTGTTGAATGAATGAAAATAGCTTGATTGCCTTCATTCTAGGTTGATGTGGACCTTGCCAAAATTAATGCCAATAAACCAGAAGATGACGAGGACCTGAAGAAGAAGCTGTGGTTGCGCATTGCACGGCACGTTGTGGAGAAAGAGAATAACATCAAACGTGCCATGGAATTCCTGCAGGAAAGTCAATTATTGAAGATTGAGGACATTCTGCCGTTCTTCCCAGATTTTGTTACTATCGACCATTTCAAGGTAATTAGGCCAATTTTTTGAACAAGTTTTTGGAGGGGTTTATAAAAGGGGTGTGAGGCCACAAACACAGTAATTAAAAAGGTGCGAATAATAATGATATAGCAATCAGTAAACTGTAACATTAACAGCAGTTTACTGTTTACTGTTACAGGAACAGTAAGAGCTGTTGCAGTAATCAAATAGAAATTACAGTAATAAGACAGTGACATTAGTAACAACTATAGTAACAGTAAATGTAATAATAATAATAATAATGATAATAATAATAATAATGCACCATCTATCTAGATAATCATACAGAAATATTACTACAGAAACTTCAATTATTGTTAACTTAAAATACTGTTTCTGTCATCCTGGTTCAAGTGGTCTTTGACAAGAGTTTAAGTATGTGATTATATTTTCTGGTATTCCCACACATCTTAAGTTTATCATTAAAACTCTTCATCTATTTTCGTAATTTACTAAAAATGTGGTAAGAATCCAGTCAAGGACAGGATGGCAAAGGTTAGTGCTCCTCACTGAAAATCAAATATCAATAACCTTCACCTTAAATCACATTACTACAGAGGTCTTAGTTTTAAAAGGTTACCTTATTAGAGAAGTGAGTTGATATATTCATTATTATGGGTATTATTTATGTTATTAACGATGTTAAAGAATACAGATTGTGCTAATAGTGTTGAAAGATATTTAATATATCTTCAAATGTGACCTACTTCTTAATTTCCATCTTAAATTTCTTTTAGAAATGCAGTTATTCGCACTCAAGGTCAATTGAATCATGAAAATAATTTTATACAATATTCTGTCTTTCTAGGAAGCGATTTGTAATTCACTCGCCGAATATAATCAGCACATTGAGAAGCTAAAGCAGGAAATGGAATACGCCACAGAGAGTGCCCGATCCATCAGATCGGACATACAAGAAATGAGGAATAAGTTGGTCACAATTATCTTTCCTATTTTCTCGCTTGTTTTATGCCTGGGGTGGGGAAGTTGTTAGTTGTATTAGGGAGCTTTTTATTTGCGATGATGTAGAACGTAATGACATCATGTTAATTTAACTGCACATGTGTGAACATTGTGCATTACATTCTCTCTTGAAATCTGGAATGGGTGTTGGCCGAATCTATGTTCAGACCAGAACTAGGGCTGTAATGTATTTATCATTGATGCATCTGTCTTTGTGATCGTGAAATCTCCGCATACATGTCGTCAAAAATCAAAATTTATTTTAAAGTATGAGGGAATTTGTTCTACATTCTTGTTTTACATTCTCAATCAGTAGTACTCTGTTGACCTTTGAGTATTGAATTTCTTACTTTGTATATTTAAGCTAGTCATTAGCTTTTAAATGAATGAAATAAGAAACTATTTTCTTGCCAATTTGATTTCTCATGAATAATGCTGCTCTTACTATTCTGCCCTACCTGATTTGTAAAGAATACTCACTACCCTCCCAAATACTTGAAATAGAAAATTTGCAAGTGATTTCGGGTGTGATCTTACTATGTTCTCTTAAATTGTCTCCTAATCAATCTCATAATATAAGTAAATACATGAAATACAGAATTGTTTCAATTCCAGGCATAGGCGTAGATCCCGGGGGGGATATATCCCCCCCCCCAATATTTGACAAGGGAGGGATTTTCCATTGTATCATCCCCCCAATATTTTGACTATGTATGGGATAAAATGGAGCTTTACACACTTCAAAAGACTGTCACAGAAATAATTTGCACTGTCTTATGCACTTACAAAGATGAAAGATTAGCTTAATGTATTAATGTTGATAACAAAATTATTTATCTGGTACCAATCTAAGCTCTTCTTTCCTTAGATGTTAGATGTGCTTGCAAAGAGAGCCACATTTCACACTGAAAGGTGTGTACGACATCAGTAATATTATGTCAATTCCAAGAATGTTTAAGGTTATATTGGTTGATGAGGAATTTATTGATTAGGCCTATAATACCAAATTGCATCAATTTATTTTGCAAAAACAAGGTTTCCAGCTTCATAGTGGGGCACATCTCCTGTCCGCACAAGGGCACACATTGGCGCAAACACTAGGCGCGTAACAGGGGTCTTGGGTCAGAGTGGGTATGTATTTTTTTTAATTTTTTATATTTTTTTATTTCAACCATCTTTAAAGAGGGTAACCCTTCTAGTTTAGCCCAGTAGGTTAACTTATATTCAGGGGCCCTCTTTAATAAAATTAAAGAACAGTACAAACAACATCATCACAACATA